TAGTGGGGTGGGCGGTCACGGGTGAAGGGATCGCGGAGGGTGGGGGCTGGTGGTGCGGAGCGGGGGGAGGAGGCGGAGAACAATACATCTCAAGCTTTGTTGACAGTGCAAGAGATGCAGGCGACGGCGTCGGGCGCCTCGAGATCAGCAAGCATGACCGGATCCGCTTCGCGCTGCCCGAGGTATTCCGTCCAGTCATGAGTGTGGCGATCGAGCAGATTGCAGAGCTGGGTGAGGCCGCCAGCGAGGTGACGTGCAGTTGCAGGCGCGCGACAGCCCCAGAGTGTGTCAAATGTTGGCGAGCATGTTGTGCGATCGCTGACAAGGGCAGCCGCAAACGCCCGTGGCGAGACGAGGAGCGCACGCATGGCCGTGGCCAGATCCGCTGGCGATGGGTAGGCCGACGCGTCGAGGTAGACAGCCGATGACGGCGCAAAGGCGGCTATGTTGGGCGCACCCAGCACAATTGGCACTGTCGTCGGTGCTGCCAGACCCTGATGCCACTTTTCGGTCACGTACGACTCGGCCGCCGAGTTCTCAAAGGCAAGCACAAACGGATACGCGTCAAGCAGGCTCTCCTTGAAGCCCGGCGCGTGTCGATTGTGTGCGAGGCCTGTCCGTGCCAGCTCCGCCGCATCGCTCGGAACGCATCGGCCCCACGAGTGGACGCCGATGTGCTTGGCAAGCTCGGCGACGTACTCGTCGCGCCCGTTCAACGCGTGGCAGTTGGAGGCGAGGAAGAAGGCCGGCGCACCCGGCCCTGACACCGCCCACTCCAGCTTGGCAGCGACAGCTTCCAGATCCACAGCCGTCTGCAGCGCGGTCCGGACTCGATCAAGCACGCCGCGCTCACCGAGATACGGCAGCGCCACATCGGCGTCGAGCCGGTAGTTGGCGTGGAGCTGGAAAAGCGCGGCGTCGGCCTGGCGCCGCAGATCAACCTCGATCGACGCACGCACCTCGTACTTGTGCGGCGGCTCGAGGTTCCACAGCAACCACGCTTGGTCGCAGTGCCGCGTAGTCGGCAGCTGCCTCGAGTCGATGTCAAAGGCATGGAAGACCACCACGTCGGCCGAGGCGATCACATCGCCGCTCACTCCGGCCGCATCGATCACCTCGCACCGCCCGTCGCCGCCGTCCCACGCCGCGCCGTGGAACATCCGCGAGGCCGGCCCATACTCGCCGCCGAAAAACGGTGTGGCAAAAACGATGCGATGCGGCTGCCGCATCGCATTGCCCCGCCGTGCCTCACATCGTCCGCCCACGCCGCGGACGGTCCGCACAGCCCGTGGCACGGTGCGGTGGACGAGCTCGCGCTGGAGATTGACTGGCATCCCGGGGTCGAGAACGAGCAAGCTGGTGCAGACAAGCGCCATTGCTGCGCCCATCACCGCCCACCTGCGTCGTCGCCATGCCCCGACCATGCGCACCTTGAGTGTCCAAGTCGAGTGCTGGGCTGTGGCAGCGAGGCGCGACTTTGTTTGCTCGCCGCCGCCTCGTCTGCCTTTTCCGTCCATGCACGACAGAAAATAAAGGCATCAAATCCAACCAGAGAAGCCATCGGGATGGCATGAAACAAGGTAACGTCATAGAGGAGGAGGAGGGGCGCGCAGGGCTGGCAAAGCTGCTGGGCAAGGGCAAGGGCAGAGCGGAGGCATCCAGCGTGACGGAAAATGGATCGTGGTGATCACTTTTTTGGACGGAAAATGCCACACCGATCCCTACAAGAGGGTGGAATACTTGGGTGTTGGAGATTGTGGGGACTGTGGCAAGTTGCTGCTCCAGGGGAGGGGCAGCGTGCACATTCAGGCCGTACTAGTTCCAGGTGTGTTTGGCGAGCAGGGTTGGATGACAAGCAAGCAGTGTAGAGAGGCATCGCGACATTTGGTTTTGGCCGTTTGGTCCGAAACGCGTGACGGACCCAAATCGGTGGCCTCAAGCTGCACTGCTGTTCACTTCTGCCCACAACCGTCGCATGCCCAAGCCGCCGCACATTGTCTCAGATACCCCTATCGCACCCATCGGATCGCACCCATCGGATGGCAATAGCGCGAGATTGAGTGCGGCAGGTGACAAGGTAGACGAGAAAAAAAAAGAAAAAAGCGAGTCATCGGCCGGCCATGAACGCGAGCGGGTGAGGTCACGTGGCGAGGTGAGGGGCAGGGCGGGTTGCGAGGAGCGTGGCGAGAGCCAAGGCAGGGGAGCGGCGCACCCCACTCTGCCATTACAAGCAACCAGTACGTGTGCAACAAGAGGGCAATGCTGGAGGGGGACAGAGGGAGACCTCGCAGCAGCACTTACAGCCGGGAATGGGTCATGGTGTCGGTGCTTTCGGTCGCTGTCGTCGTTGTGGCGTTTGCTTTGGTTTTCGTCGAACGCGACCTGTGGGGTCTGGCCGGTCATGATGACACCCGTCCTGGGCCTCATGGCGGAACCGATGGTGGGGGCCATCATGATGTTGGGGTCACTGACCATGGTGGCGATGGTGGTGGTCATGCTCATGCTGTAACTGCTGTTGCTGGCCGGACTGATGACGTCGTTGCGGCTCGCCCCACGTCTCCAGTGGCTGACTCTGCTGCGTTCTTTCTGCCGACGCACACGCTGCCGTCGCACTACTCGGTCCACCTGACGCCGGATCTTGAGGCGTTTACCTTTGCGGGCAAGTGCGAGATCAAGGTGAACTCGTCGGCCGACTCGCAGACGATTGTGGTCCACGCCAAGGAGCTGACCATCCACAGCGTGAGCTACAACGGCGAGGCTGCGGCGTCGCACTCGTACGACGAGACGCTCGAGCAGCTGACAATCGAGCTCGCGGGCGAAGGTGCCAAGGCTGGCGCCGACGGTGTGCTGGCGTTCACCTACGACGGCGTGCTTAACGACCAGATGGCCGGCTTCTACCGGTCCAAGTACAACTCCAAGGCCGACGGGACCGGCGAGGAGCGGTACATGGCGGTGACGCAGTTTGAGGCGACCGACGCCCGGCGGGCGTTCCCGTGCTTTGACGAGCCAGCGCTCAAGGCGACCTTTGACGTCACGCTCGTTGTGCCGGCCGATCGCGTCGCGCTCTCGAACATGAACATTGTGTCCGAGACTCTCGACGAGGCCGCGGGCAAGCGGACGGTGACCTTTGCCACCTCGCCGATCATGTCGACGTATCTGCTGGCGTTTGTGGTGGGCGAGCTCGACTACGTCGAGGCGCACACCCAGATCGGCAACATTGCCGTCCGCGTCTACACTCCGGTCGGCCTCGCCGACCAGGGCCGCTTCGCTCTTGACGTTGGCGTCAAGGTCCTCGACTTTTACCAGGACTACTACGCCAAGGAGTACCCGCTGCCCAAGCTCGACATGGTGGCCATCCCCGACTTTGCCGCCGGCGCCATGGAGAACTGGGGTCTCGTCACGTACCGCTCGGTCCTGCTTCTGTACAACGAGGAGACGACGCCCGCGTCGATCAAGCAGCGCCTGGCGTACGTTGTCGGCCACGAGCTCGCCCACCAATGGTTCGGCAACCTTGTGACCATGGACTCGTGGACGTACCTCTACCTCAACGAGGCCTTTGCCACCTACGTCGGCTGGGCCGCCACACACGCTTTCTTCCCTGAGTGGCAGGTGTGGAACCAGTACGTGGTCAACGACTTCCAGCGTGCCCTCGAGCTCGACGCCCTCGAGTCGTCGCACCCCATCGAGGTCGCCATCGAGAACCCGAACAAGGTCGACGAGATCTTTGACGCCATCTCGTACTGCAAGGGCTCTGCCGTTGTCCGCATGCTCGTCGCCTACCTGGGCGAGGAGACCTTCCGCGCCGGCATGCGCGACTACGTCGCCAAGTTTGCCTACGGCAACACCAAGACCGAGGACCTTTGGGCCTGCCTCTCCGCCGCCTCGGGCAAGGACGTTCCGGGTCTGATGAACACCTGGGTTAACGCCGTTGGTTACCCGGTCGTCTCGGTCTCCCGCACCTCGCCGACCACCCTCGCCGTCACCCAGGAGCGCTTCCTCTCCACCGGCCGCCCGGCCGCTACCCCTGTCGCCGCCCCCGAGTGGAACATCCCGCTCCGCGCCGTCTCGGGTGCAGACCCGGCCGCGGCGTCCGAGGACCTCCTCACTGCCGCCACAGGCGAGATCGCCGTCGCCGCCGACGCCTGGGTCAAGCTCAACCAAGGCCAGGTCGGCTTTTACCGCGTCGCCTACGACGCCGAAAGCATCGCCCTCCTCTCGTCGTCGGACGCCCTCGCCGCCCTCTCGCCCGTCGACCGCGTTGGCCTCGTCAACGACGCCTTTGCCCTCGCTGCCGCCGGCTACGGCTCGACCCCGCTCGCCCTCGACCTCATCGCCGCCGTCGGCTCCGCCGAGTCCGAGTACATTGTCTGGGCTGACATCGCATCCTCGCTCTCGGCCGTCGCCAAGGCCTGGACCTCGGACGCCGACCTCGCCGGCCTCCGCACCGTCTACGGCCGCCTCTTTGCCCCGCTCGCCGCCAAGCTCGGATGGGCAAAGTCGCCGGGCGAGTCATACCAGGACTCGCAGCTGCGCCCGCTCGCTCTCTCGCGCGCCATCCGCGCCAACGTCGCCTCGGTCGTCGACGAGGCCAAGGCCCGCTTCGACGCCGGCACCGTCCACCCAGACCTGCAGTCGTCGGTCTACTGGGCCCTCCTCTCGGTCGCCTCGCCCGACGACGCCGCCGCCATGCACAACAAGCTCGTCGCCGAATACAACGCCGCCACTTCGCAGGACACCAAGGTCGTTCTCCTCTCCGCCATCGGCGGTGTGCCCACCCGTGACCTCGCCCACAAGGTCGCCGTCTGGGCCGCAGAGTCTGGCGACGTCCGCAACCAGGACCTCTTCTACGTCGTCGGCTCGCTCCTTGGCTCGGCTGTCGGCCGCGCCGTCGTCTGGGACTACGTCTCCTCCAACTTTGACGCCCTCGAGGCCAAGTTCCAGGGCGCCTTCCTCCTCGCCCGCATCGTCAAGATGGTTGTCGGCTCGCTCACCACCCAGGACGCCCTCGACGCCGCCAACGCTTTCTTCGCCGCCCGCGACGTCTCCTCCTATGAGCGCCCGCTCAAGCAGGCCGTCGAGGAGGTCACCGCCCGCCTGCAGTGGATCGAGCGCGACGGCGCCGCCGTCTCGGCCTGGCTTGCGGTCCAGGCGCAGGAGGCTTGAAGCGCGTGCCGTAAAGCAATCTCTCTCTCTCCCTCTCTCTCGTGCGCTCGCCCGCGATGTCATGCAGCTGCAGTCGACTCGTGGTACCGTTGTACGGCAGTGGTTGCATTCATTCTGTTTCCCATTTCTCAGACGGGGGTGGTCCGAGGAGGAGGCTAAGGCTCTGGCGGCGGAGATCGAGGTCGAGGACGGGCCCAACGACGAGGGCGAGCTGTTCATGCGCCCCGACAAGCTCTCGGACTACTTCCCGCGGCCGTACGCGAAGGAGGAGATTGCGCGCAAGGCCAACAACGGCGCGCTCGCGCAAGTCAGGAATTACACTCAAGACCAAGAGCCCCTCGCGCGCGCGTGTGTGTGTAAACAAGCGTAGTAGTGTGGGCTGTCACAGGGCAGTGGTCGCATAATGGTGGTTGCGGTAGTGGTTGCGTTCATTCTGTTTCCCATTGTCAGACGGGGGGTGGTTCTAAAAAGAACCAGGTTGTTGTTGCGGTGGATGCCATCTCGGCGAGCCAAGACAGCAAAGAGACGCTTAGGCGCGCTCGCCACGGATGCGGCGCGAGAGCGAGAGGTCCTTGACCATGATGGTCACACGCTTGGCGTGGATGGCGCACAGGTTGGTGTCCTCGAAGATCGAGACGAGGTAGGCCTCGGTGGCCTCCTGGAGGGCGGCGATAGCCGACGACTGGAAGCGGAGGTCAGCCTTGAACTCCTGGGCGAGCTCACGGACGAGGCGCTGGAACGGAAGGCGGCGGATGAGGAGCTCAGTCGACTTCTGGTACTTGCGGATCTCACGGAGAGCGACGGTACCCGGGCGGTAGCGGTGGGCCTTCTTGACGCCGCCGGTGGCCGGCGCCGACTTGCGGGCGGCCTTGGTGGCGAGCGACTTGCGCGGTGCCTTGGCACCGGTGGCGGACTTGCGGGCGGTCTGCTTGGTACGAGCCATGTTAAAGTGTTTGGATGGGATGCCGATGACAATCTGTCCCTCTTGCGCGTAAGCGACGCTGGTTTTAAGCCTCCGCCGCCAGTCCGGCTTGTACGTACAAACACAAATTTGTACGTACACGTCTGTACGTACATTTTCTTCATGTACGTACATGCACGTACACCCCACCCCACCAATCTCCTTGCCTTCCCATCTATCAACGCCTTCCACGCCCTTTTCCTCCTCCCAATGGCTGCATCGCCGCCGCCAACCACCCCAACTCATGGATCTTCTTTAAAAACCCCACCCGACCGCGTCGCTGCTACCGCCGGCTCAGCCGCATCGCAAGATGCATGTCCTTGGGCTGGATTGTCACCCGCTTGCCATGATTGGCGCAGAGGTTCGTATCCTGCATCAGCGAGACCAGGTACTCCTCGCTCGCCTCCTGCAGCGTGGCCAGCGCCTGCGGCTTGAACCGCAGATCCGGCATCAGCTCTTGCGCAAGCTCGCGGACAAGCCGTTCAAAAGGCAACCGCCGGATGAGCAGATCCGTTGACCGTTGGTACTTGCGGATCTCCCGAAGCGCCACCGACGCCGGACGGTTGCTCATCGTCGGCTTGGTCACACCCGCCGCGGTCTTGGCGCTGCGGACCGGCCGCGCGGCCTTGCGCGCCGCCATCCTTCCGCCGGCTCCCCGCCCGATTTGAGTGGCCACCGACTGGCTCGGTCCATCACTCGCGCAGCTCTCAATGCCGTGGCTGCCGTTGCTCTTCCTCGCTCGCGGTGACGAGCTCTTGGTCGCACCGGCGTCGACGCGGATGGTGGGAAGTCCGTCGGCTGCAACGGCAGCCCCATCGCGCCCGCTCGCCCTGACGTCGTCCCGCACCCGCTTCTTCTTGTGCTTCTTGCTTCTCTTGCCCTTGCCCTTGCCCTTCTTGCTCTTCCTCCTCTTCTTGCTCGCCTTTCCGTCCGCCGCTGCAACAGCCGGCGCAGCCATCCGCGGCGTCTTGTTGGCCGTCGGGAACCGGTTCTTCCGGACGAGACTCTGCTTGACGCGTGCCATCGTTGTTGTCTTGCGGCAGAGAGTCAAGTATGTCTCTCTCCTGGTTTCTCCTGCCGTCGTTAGCCGTTGTCTGATGGTCGTGTCGTTTGCGACTTAAACGTCACACTTTGGCCCGAAAAAACAACAACAAAGGGCACACAGAGGCAGCCGCTCGCCCCCCCCCCCCCCCCCCCCCTCCCCCTTTCCACACACACGTACAAACCTACGTGGACACACGCACCCAATCTGTCATCCCTATCCCCCAAAACCCCATCCCGATCGAGTGTTTGCCTTCACACACACTTGCAAGGGGCCATCACGCACGGCATGCAACCAGTACAAGCCCCAGCGCCCACCAATCACCTGACCCCATGCCTTTATCTCTCCCTTCCACTCCCTCCCATGAAAGTCTCGTCACCCCCTGGTATTGCCCTCCCATGTACGCAGAGATCAACCAGTGTGACGCAATGGGGTCACAAATGCGACGAAAAAAAGATAATAGAAAACCCCCCGCCGCCAGCCACTCTTCAACACCACCGCGACACGTGCCATCACTCCTCCACCTTCAACACCACCGCGACACGTGCCATCACTCCTCCACCCCTCCTACCCCCCCCCCCCCCTTCCCCCCCTTCCCCCACCCCGCCTCGCCAGCCATGGACAAGCACCGGACAAAACGCGCACGGACAACAGGCAGCGCCGGGCCCTCACTCCCACAGTTGGTCTTCCCCAGCCCAAGCAGTGGCAGTGGCAGCGGAGGAGCAGGAGGCGGCATGTCGGCACTCCCTCCGGCCTACGTCAGCAACCTCATCGGCACTCTGCCCATGCCCGGACCTCTGCCAACCTTCCCTGTCCTCCATGCCAATCCGCTGGATGTGGACTATGGCTATGGCTGTGGTACCACATACAATCTCATGGAAATGCTCAATGCCGACGACTTTGAGGGCTTTCCGCCGCCTCTCGCATCTGCCGCTACCACTGTCACCACCGCTGAGCCCACCGCATCGGCTACCTCTGCGACGTCATCCACCACTCCGCTCGCGCCGTCTCCGCTCGACGTTGTCCTCCCACCCTCGCCATCGAATCCGACTGCGCTCTTTCTCGAGCCGGAGCCCTTCTCGCCCTTCAACCGCTTCCGCGACTCGCTGCCGCCTCCGCCCGCACTCGATGTTGAGCTACCGTCCGGCATCGACTATGAGCTCGCTGACCCGTTTGCCGCGCCCGGCGAGCCCTCGATTGACAGGGTCGAGTCCAGCACGCCCCTGCCCGAGCCGCAACTCGCCTCGATCTCGGCAGCTGGCGGCCGCGACGGCAATACTCTGGGCGTGCAGGCGTCATCGAGCTCGGCGCCATCCGATTCGTCGTGGCTGTTTGAAAACCCCAAGGTGGTGGTCACCGATCGCATGCTGTGCGTTCCGTTTGAGGCGCTCGAGACGCCCGAGCAGTGTGAAATGGCAGTCAACGCACTGAGCCAGCTGTTCATGGACCCGTGCGTCATGAAGCACTACGATAACGGAGTGCTCGAGCCCGAGGCTGCGCGTGAAAAGGCCTCCCGATCGTTCAAGCGCTGGCATGCCCGCGCCGTCAAAGGCGACCTCTCGTGGTGGCTGATGATGGACCGGACCGCCGCCACCTTTGGCGGTGAAAAGGTGCTAGGTGCCGTCGGCTTCAACGCTGGCAAGTACTTTGAGCCCAAGGCCGTCATCGTCGAGACCGCCATCCTGCTCTTCAACGAGCATTGGCGTCGCAAGCTCGCCACCGAGGCCTTTGTCTACATTCTCGACCACCTGCTCGCTGCCCGCCGCGTGCCGTTTTTCAACGGCAAGTGCGCCTTTGGCGCTACCATCTCGCCGGCCAACACCGCCTCGCAGGGCCTGGCTCGCAACATGGGCCTCTCCCGCCACGACTGGCCCTTCCGCAAGCTGCCGAGCTTTGGCCCACGCGACTGGATGCAGTTTACCATCTGTGCCAACAAGCCCGGCGCCCTCTCCCTCGTCCACAACCACATTGCCGCTCTCAAGGCCCAGCTCCGCCGCGTCGTTTGCGCCCAGCTCGTCTACCTCGAGCCACTCACCCTCGCCGTCCACTGGCGGTCCGCCACCCACGAGCTCTACCCGCGAACCTTTACAAACGTCGAACTCGCGCTTGCCCGCTCGGCCACGCTTGAGGCGCAGATTGCCGCCGCCACCGCCGCAGGCGCTTCGCTCGTCTGTCGTGTCGCCATCGCCGCCTCCCACTGCGGCATCGCCGCCTACACCTCGTCGCCACCGCCGCCCTCGGCCCCGGTCGTCCATCTCAAGCTCTCGGTCCACGACAAGGTGCCCAAGGTCTTCCTCGAGACTCCGCTCACTGCCGCCTCTGACGGCTGGCGCGCGCTTCTCCCAGTCATCCTCGTCCGCGGCTCGCCGGGCTACGTCCGGATTCTCGACGCCGACGCCCGCTGCGAGCTCGTCGTCATTGTCGGTACCGTTGACAAGCACACCGGCGCCTTTACCGCTCTCGACGGTGTGCCGAGCGTCGAGCTCTCCGACGTTGCCATCAATCCCCGGTTTGCCAAGAACGCCAACAACCTCGCTGCCGTCCCGCCGCCGCCCATCCTCTCGCCAGCCACGCCGCTCGCAGCTGGCGTGCCCACTGTCTCGCTCGTTGTCGCCGCCGCCGCTATCGGGCAGGACCGCTACTCCACCGCTGAGCTTGTCGGCGTCAGCTCGCTGGCCTTTGGTGCCGGTGGCGCCGAGCGCTTCAACCCGCTCACAACCCGGCTCGTCGTCTCGCTCTGGCTCGTCGAGCCCGCCGGCGACGTCCCCATCCCCATCAAGTGCTCCGGCGAGCGGGCAAAGTCGTCGTGGACCCAGCCGTATGTCGAGATCCCCGTCAGCTCTCTCCCGTCGCCGCCCAACTCGGTCGCCTCCCTCCGCCACACCATCGACGTCCAGGCCTCCAAACTCGTCAAGTCGGCCGAGTACAAGAACAAGTCCGCCTACCTCCACGTCGTCGCCTTCGACACCACCGACCCGCGACGCGGCACCGTCTTTGCCGCAACCTCCAACCGGTTTACCATCAAGTCGCGCGCGTCCTGACCCGACTGCCCCGAGTCAAGCGCGCCATGAACATAAAGAACCACGCTACGCCTCAGCGTACACCGCAACCACGTCGTGCCGTGCGTTGCAACGTCCGGCATGCATGGTCACGTACTTGACAAACGACATGACCTTGATCGGCTCCTCCTCGTCGTCGTCCTCCTGCTCCTCCTCGTTCGCCGCCTCGGGCGCCGCCCGGTACACCAAATGCAGCGTGTTGTACGCCGGCGGGAGTGAGAAGAGCACCTCGTCCTCGGACATGTACACCACAGATCCAGGCGGAACCCGCTCGGCGATGCCAGGCCCGGCTTCGATGCCACCATCGTCGCTGCCAGCCTCGCTCTCGCTCTCGCCGTCGTCACCATTCTCGCCAGCTTGGTTGCCAGCAGCGTCGTCGTCGCCAAAGTCGTCGTCAAAGTTGTCGCCGTCGTCAGCGACGCCCGACAGATGTGCCGCCAGCACGTACGCAGCATCGGATCGCTTCGTGAGCGGGAGCAGGCTTGCCGGGCGCGGCGCGAGCTCGATCCGCGGTAGAGTCGAAAAGTCGAGGTACATGTCGAGGCCGCCGGACGGGGCATCATCGCCGCCCTTGCCCTCATCGGAGAGCAGGGTGTGATGGCCGGCAAAGAACGAGCGCTTGGCGATGGAAGAGACGCGGGTGAGCTCAAGGCCAGTCATGGCCGAGAGGAGCGCGCCAAACTCGGCGCTGGCCACAATCTTGGCCGGGTCAGAGCTGCTGGCATCGACCGGCGCGGAGAGGTACGTGCCGCGGTCGGGCGGGACGTCGACCACCGCGTCCTTGCCCGGGAACGACAGCGCCGCCGCCGCCTCGGGCTCAAAGAAGCCCGGCAGCGAGATGACCGAGTTCTCGCCAAAGGCTGCGGCGATGGAGGCGGCGCGGGCTGGGGAGAGGTACTCGCGAGCGACAATGCCGGCCAGCGGGTGCGAGGCCGTCAGCGCAGAGTACACCATGGCGGCCGCCGGACGCGGGAGCTTGGGCGTCAGCGAGCGGCCGTGGAGCCAGCCCGAGACCGAGAGGCGCGGCCGCCCGCCGGTCACCTGCGCCACGGCGTGGTACGAGGTGTGGCTGACGGCAAAGAACGAGAAGGTGTTGGCTGCCGGCAAGATCGAGGCCACCGGGCACGGCACCGGGGCCAGATCCGGAGTGCCCTCGCCGGTAGCGGTGTACAGCTCGAGCGCACCACCATCAGCCTCGCTCCAGTCGTCGTCAACAAGGTAGAGGATAAAGGCGACGCGGCGGCCGGGCATGTTGTCGTCGTGGAGGGCAAGATAGTCGCCGTCCTGGAAGCAGAGCGCGTGCATGTCGACACAGGTCGGATCAAACTCGATGCCGGTCACCGCCGTCATAGCCTGCAGAAAGTCGGGTGCGTAGATGGCGTCGCGGAGCTTGGTCAGCCACACGTAGCCTGATGCCGTGTTGAGGTTGGCCAGCTCGTCCGACTGCAGAAAGTCATACAGATCGTTGCTCTTTGGCTCAAAGCCGATCATCTTCCGCACCTCGCCCACCAGACCGGCGTAGGCGCCCGGATGCGGGATGAACTCGGGGACGACGGCCCTGGCAAAGGGCGTAGCCGACTCGAACTCTTCCTTGACAGCCTCGACGTCGAGCACCTTGAGCATGGCCACCTTTTCCACCAGACCGCCCGGGACCAGAGCACGGGCAGCAGCCCAGGCATCCTCCGCCGCCGCCGATTCAAAGTCGACATCGAGATCGGGCATAAAGTCGTTGACGGCGGTGAAGAACGCCTCCCTGACCGGCGTGGGCAGCTCGAGGAGGAGGTAGGTGAGCGCATTGATGGCCTCGGCATGGTCCTCCGACTCGTCCACGGCATCGACGGCTGTGATGGCTGCTCCCGCCGCACGCACTGCTGCAGCCACGCCAGCTTCGAGCGAGATGCCCTTGGCCGGCACCACCACCTCACGGCCACCACCAGCTCCAGTGCTTGCCGTCGTCGTCGTCGTCGTCGTCGTCGTTGTCGCCGCCGTCGTCAGTGGGCGGGTGCGCTTGGACGGGCCGGCCGGAGAGCTTTCTGAGGGAGAGCGTTCGCGCTTGTTCATGGGGATGTGGTGGTGGTGGTGGTGTGATGGATCCTGGTATCAATCTGGGTGGGTGAGGGGGGGGGGGGAGGAGGACGACGAGGGATGGATGGATTGGGTTTGGGTTTGGGTTTGGGTTTGCGGGGACGGTCATCGGAGGAGGGCTGATGGGGATCAGAGTATGGGCCATGGGGGGTGATGGAGTGGGAGAGGGGATGGGTATGCCCAGGACGAGGTTCAAGGAAGCTTGTAGCGGGCACGGAGCCGACGCTTCTCGTACACGCGATAGCCGATGCGGAAGGCTCTCTCGAGACAGAGCGCAAGGCCGCCGCCGATGACGAGGTAGGTGACGGCCGAGAAAAAGGTCCAGCCAGAGGCTGCCGCCGGCGGATCCGGCGAGCTGGCATCCGAGCGCGGCACCGTGCCGCCGGCTGCAGCGCTGGCGGCGGGGGACGGCGCTGGCGCGGCGGTGGGGCGCGGGGTGGGGCGCGGGGTGGGGCGCGGGGTGGGGCGCAGCGTCGTCACCGGCGTGGGCGCCTCTGTGTGGGTTGCCACCGCAAGCGGCGGGTCCGACGGATCGATGGGACAGGCCATTGTCTCACCCGCACGGCGCCAGAATGCGTCTGACTGCCCAAAGTCGGCGGGAATGGGCGACGCGAGCTTGTTGCGATGATCGCTGCACCGCGCCGTCGACGTGCGCGCAGAGGTCACGACCGAGTTGATGACGACCGAACAGAGCGAGAGCATCAGCTCCTGGCGCGCCTCATCACAGCCTTCGTCGTGCGCTTCAAGCGAGAGGCTCGGGCTGAGGTCGGTCGGCGGCCACGGCGCGTCGCAGTTGACAGGCGAATAGGGCGGCGCCGAAAGTGACCACGTCGTGCCGGATGGGCCGTGGGCGTTGCACCCGTCCCGGAGCGCGAGCAGCGGCGCAGGCAGGTACGAGGAGACAAACACCGGAGCATGCGGGGTAAAGACAAGGTCGGTGGTGAGCGCCATGTGGCTGAGCCCGACGTTGGCCACCGCAATCATGTAGCCGTACGTGCGGCGGTGCTGCATCAGCGCAGGCTCGTTGTGCGATGACAGTGCCCGCAGCGCCGCCATCCACGCCTGAGCCACGTCGCGCAGATCGTCAACGTGGATGATGTACGGGGGACATGCCGGCGCGAGTAGATGCGGATTGCTGGTGTAGCGGCCGAGGAGCTCGCGGACGGACGCCTCGCCCACGACCTCGGCCGGGCACTCGGCGGCAATCGGTGCGCCGGCGAGCGCGACATGCGCTGGCTCCGCCGCGCCGGACAGGTGATCGATGAGCGCCTCGACATCCCACTGTCGCACAAGAAGCGCCGGCTCGGCCGCCAGGACAACAATGGGCCCAGTCGGGAGCTGGGCGTTCTCGGTCTCGCGCGTCTTGGAGAGCCAGTGGCCCACAATCCACGGCAGCGAGAACGCCTCGTCCCATGCTCCCAGCAAGTGGTGGCTTTCCATCGAGTTTTCGCGGAAGGTTGTCGACGTAGCCAGTCCGAGCTCGGCCGGCGTGTCATACGGCGAGCACGAGAGCAGCCGCAGGAGCGGATGAGGCTGTCCAACGGCGGCGTACGAGCCCTCAAACGCGAGCGAGGCGAGGTCGCCGAGCGGCGTGCACTCGGCGTGGTAAGCAAAGGTGACTCGCGGCCCGGCTTTGACCCGCGCCGACGCCGCCATGACCCGCCGCTGCGCTACGCTATCGTATTCGAGTGTCGGGTACGGCTGGGTCCAGTAGCGCGCGTCAGGAAGCAGGTCGGCGTTGGGTGGCGGGAGAAGCGGGCATCCGGTCCCGCGGTCAATCGACGGCATGATGTCGTCGGACCAGAGCGGCTCGTCCGGCACTGGTGGGTGGTGCGAGATGTGGTCGCACCCGCGCCGGACCCGCTCCTCGTAGATGAACTTTTCGATAAAGTGGAGGAAGATGATGGCGGTCCCGCGCCGGCGCGCCTCGTAGCATGATGTGGCTGACGACGAGTCAGCCTTGTCAAACACAACCGGCGGTGCATGGCCCCAGTCGGGGAATCCACGGTACTCGCACGAGATGAGCGACTTGTCCGGCGAGGTGTAGTAGTGCTTGTCAAACTCGATGTTGTCGTGCTTGAGCAGGATGCCCCAGTGCATAAAGTACGGGTAAAAGTGGTCGTGTGAATACGACGGGTACACCATCAACTTCTTGTGGACGGACGGGACAAGACCAAGGTCCGACAGTGTAAACGTTCCGCCATACATCTCGGATGTCCATCCGGCGTCCTTCTACAAATCGAACAAGGGGGGGGTGGGTGAGTAGTAGTGGGGGAGGGGGAGAGGGGAGGGGGGGGGGATGCAGCAGGTGCGTACTGTCAAGTGCTTGATGTCCGACTCGCGAACCATCTCGGTGACGACAAACCACCACGGGTTGAGGACGCGCAGATCGTCGCGGTGGAAGAACATGGGGACACCGACTGGGCGGGCGGCGTCGATATTCATGGTGAACCGCTGAAGGCCGTTGACAAAGCCCCGCTCGGCGAGGTAAGTGTACTCTTGCATCATGGGCGCGCCGCGGAGTTCCTCGACCGGAGGCAGATCCTCAAGCAGAATGCGGCGGAGGAGGAACATGTCGGGATCAAAGATGATGATGATCTCCTCCTGCGGCGGATGATGCAGGAACCAGTGATGGAAGCCGTACGGCCTATTGTAGGCCGAGTAGTAGTCGCCCGACTTTGGATGACGAGCCGCGCGAGGATGAACCCATGTCTCCGAGACCAGCCCGAGCTCTTCTGCCGACGTCACCATCTCCGGATCATCACAGGCCATCAGCCGAGTCAGCTTGCCCTCTTGCCCCACAGCACGGAACGAGGCCTCAAAGGCCACAGCCTGCCAGTCCATATACGCCGAGCACTCGACTCCGTACACAAAGTGCAGCGTGTTGGCCTCTGTCCGGTCGTCGGGCGCCAGTGCAGCCGCCGACCGTGTGGACACAGACACCACCATGACCAGGACCATGGCAACAGCCACTGGGCAGACTATCCTCATGGCGGGTGGGTGGGTGGGGTAGGGTATGGGGGTGGGGTA